TCTCATCCTCTCAGACTCTCTGTGACCCCTGACTCTCTTGGCCATCACTTCCCTGTCTCTGGCCCCCTCCTACTGTCTACCAGGCTGTCCTGCAGGGGGCGATCTCGAGTTCACCAAGCTTTCCTGATGCTCTGTTTAGACTCGTCTCTGAAGCTGGATGACAAATGTCTAGGAGCCTGGCTGTGAGTCCCACTGGTCCTGGGGATGGACTGGGCAGTGAGATAACTAGTGAGTAGTGTTGGGGAGTGGGGAAGGACCTCTAACTCCAGTCATTTTGACAGCACTGTCCTTTGAAAGACTCGGGCAGAGGCCAAGGGACTATCATGCTATTCCCACTCTGTGAAGGGGATGTGTCCTGCGTGGCTCTTGGACCCGGGAGACTGTGAACACACACTGAGAGCACTGCTAGTAGCGTCAGCTTTGCCAAAACTGTGAACATGGCGAATGCTCCCTAGCGGCCTCCAGATGCTACTGGTGGTAAAAGCTGATAAAACAAATCAGCCACTGGCCAGCTAGCTCCGTACTTCATGGCTTGATCAGATTAAACAGGGTGTGGGCTGCCTTTCAGGGTGGCTGACAAACGGCAGCAGCATGGAAAAGGAGATATTTGGGGGTAGAGGTACCTTTCGCGGGTTCCTTAGGCCAGGAACATGAAATGAGCTTTTGGAGGGGGAGACTATAAAGGCAAAAGTATTGGCTCTGGTGCCCTCTGGTGGCTAAGTCACAATCTCGCCGTTTCCCCAGATAGCTGCTTGCTGGTGGGGGAGGTGTTTGCAGGACCCACTGTGACATGTGAAGGTCTGCTTCCTGGTAGGCGCCGGTTTATACTGGTTTTGGTTGGGTTATTTAGGTTAAATTTCCAAATATCCAGTTACAGAATTAGGCCTTTTTCCTTCGCCCCTTCAGAAAACTCTAAATGACTGAGAAATACGATCAGCAGTCCAGTTAGTATCTTGGATCCGCCTAGAAAACGGATTATTAGATGTTGAAACAGTCCTATTTGCCACACTTGGCCACTTGACATTTTTGTTCTCAACATTGCCGAAAGATTATGGGTGTTGAGGTACCGGTGATGTGTTTCTAGACATATTCCTATCACTGGCTCCAAAAAGAAATATGGCATACTTCTGTTTTAAGGATCACATTACAAAGTTGCTTAAAATGAATAAGTCATGACCGTTCCCTATTTTCTTTTATGAGATTCTAACTATTTACCCTCAAAAACAGTGCCATACGCTCTTGACTTCACTAAATGGCAGAACATGGCAGGTGGTATTTATTGAGGTGTCAGCAGCCAAATATATGGCCCAAATTGAGACATAGGGAATATTTTCTTTAAATGACCCAAGGTTCATTATTAATTATTATTAAAGTAAGTCACGTTTGCCTCTTCACTGCTTCTCCTGTCCATGCCTCGAGATCTTTTAAAGTGGATAAAAGACCGTACGTGATGCTGCCTACCTGGAGCACTGCTTCTTACGGCCACACCTAGCCCCTGAGCTCCTGGAACTCATGCAACCCACCCTTCCAGTTTGGATGCGCTAAACACGTGCAGGTGCTTGCTAAAGATAACGAGGAAACGCTTAATCGATGCTGACACCAGTCTTCCCTCCTGCTCTCCAGACGCTGCCTGCAACACTCCCAACCTTCTCTTCCCCCACTCGCCACTGCTTCCCACCTGGACGCTTCTCTGCCTGTCTGCAAGGTGCCTTTGAATTGGAACCTTTTTAGTCCACGGCCACGCCACCCTGAACGTGCCGGATCTCATCTGATCTCAGAAGCTAAGCAGGGTCGGACCTGGTTAGTACTTGGAAAGGAGACCACCTAGGAAGACCAAGTGCTGTAGGCGTAAAAATAAAATAAAATAAAATGAATTGGAACCCTTTACAAGTCTCTCTCCATTGCCTGAGCTCCATTTTGCAGCTGTGGCTTCCACTAAAGAGTTTCTTCGATCGAATCCCTCCTCCGAACGTGGAGCATCTGCCCCTTTTCTTCAAAGAGCTTCCTTCATGCAGCGCCCGACCTGTAGGCGGGCCACCTCCTGTCCTGCACCTCCTGCTCCTTGCCTGGGAAGTAAGAAGGTTGGACGTGGTTGTCGGTTCTCACTTGAGAGCAGAGGGGTTCCCATGGGCTCCAAAGAGATCTCCCAACCACCCCTTGCACTCTGATCAGAGGTCCCCCTTTTATTGGTTATTTAAACCGGGTTTCTAAGGAATATTTATTTTGGGGGGAAAATGTGACTTCAAAAGTTTAAAGAAAGGTTTATCGAAAAAATAAATAAATAAATAGACAATGAACGAGATGATCTAATATCCCCTCCGAAGCTCTCAGCTGCTGGAGAATGCCCTTCTCACCCACCTTCTGGTCCTTAACCCCTCCTCGTGTGTGAGTGTTGGTGGAGAGACAGTAAGTAACACTTTATAGACACTCTGACAGGGCTCCAGCCATCAATTCTTCTAATGGGTCTTGGGCAGCTGTCCCAGGCCCGAGGAGTTGCATTAAAGCTGAGAACGAAACCAAGGGATTGGATTTCTTTTTAAATTAGAGGAAAAATGTGATCTGGGTTCCTGGAAGCTGTCACGATGCTTTTAAAAGATGTCTTAAATAATTATACTCCTGAGTTTCTCTTAGGTTTTGAAACTTCATGGGCAGGTTTCTGCTTTGTTTTGGTGGAAAGTTGTGGAAAATCATGGCATGAAATGTGCCTACTCTGGTGTCAGGCTGAGGCACAGGGAGGGGAGGAAACCAATATTTATCAAGTCCATACTGAGCTTCAGGGACTAGAGATAGATTAATCAGGGAATCCTCAAGACTGCACCCTGTGTCCCCACTCTGTAACCAGTGGCTTCGAGAGCTTCAAGTCATGTGCTCGCAGAGCTGGTAAGACAAGAACCCAGCATTCGAACCAGGTCTGGACGATGCCTGGATTTGCAATGTCCCGTGGAGAACGCGGGGTCTACGATGGAAAGCTTTACTGGGGAGATTCTTCTGGGGTCCGGAGAGATCCCTTCATAAATAGGGGAGCCATTTAATTTATTTTCTAAATGAGGGAACTTGTCCAGGACAAATGACTGACTAGGTGTGATGCTGGGACAGCAGGCATGCAATGATGCTGTCCTGGACAAACCCGGGTGTCCAGTCACCCTTTCCATCGCACGGGCCAGACGAAGTCCTATGACATCAAGAAGCAAGGCTGCCACCAGGAGAATCAGAAGTAAGTGGCAGGACCAAGATTTGAACCCAAGCCTCTCTGTAAAACCCCTATCTTCCCCACTCCATTATACTTCCTCCTGATGTGCTTTCTTCTCAAGCCCAAGGCCATGACCAAACTCTGGTCAGCTTTGGGTATGGAGCACAAAGACAGTTCCAACACAAATTTTATCGAGCAGTTTTTGAGAAGGAAAATATCCAAACTGCATCTTAATTTTAAAACCAAATCAGTCAGTTTGTGTAATCAGTGAGAACTTTGATCTGGAGGTTAAAAGAAAGAGTGGTCCCCTTTCCACTCTACCCCTGCTCCCCAAATTCCTCTTTCCTGCATCCTTCATTAACCCTGAAAATTAGACTATTGTTAAAGCATTGCTGATCTGAAACACCAGAAAGCTCGCACAGATAAGTGGTTACCAGCATGGGAGAATAAGCCGTATTAATCATCTGTGTTCTGATGCTTTGACATCTGAGGCCTAGCTGGCCCTAAAGAGACTGCCCCTCTCAGGGCTGGCTAATTCCTAGAGAGAGGAAATGACACCTTTCACATGCAAACGACCAATCCAGAGCCCACTCCCACCACCTCCACATCTGAGGTCTCGCTTTCAGGCCCACCGTCCCCCTGCCCTTCTCACCCCATGACAGGTACGGACAACTGCGGACAGCCACCAGGCCCCAGAGCCAATGGAAACGTTCAAACTAGATGATTTTCGGCTGGCTTCCCCTGCCTCGCCCATTTTTTCCCGCAGAAACCGCACGAGGGCTCTTGCCCATGTTTTTTCCTCGCCCCTTCTGCTTCCTGACAAAGGCTGGTGCTTCTCTGTGTCCCCCCCGCCCCAGGGCATGGCAGGCCCCCTCCTCCTGCGAACTCTGAGTAACTATGTCTTCGATGGCAGTTGTCTCCTGATCTGTAGGTCCCACCATACCTGAGCAAAAACAACGCCCACGTTTTAAAGCAGAAGCCATTGCTTCTGACAGGCATCTACCCCTCTGTTTCTAGGGGTACAAACGGTCTCAGCGCATGGGGGCAGCAGCAGTGGGCAAAGGCAACGGTGAGTCCGACCCAGCACTCGATTTTCACCAAGCACCAGAAAGAACTTGCTTTCTCCTCAGTGACGGGCAAGCGAGGCAGTGAGAACGCGCAGTTCGTTCAAGAGACAGCCCGGGAAAGGGAGACAGGCTGTCGAGGACCCAGGAACGAGCCACGGCCCGCACTAAGTCGGGAAAACAAAACCATCCGGCACAACCCAGGTCACTAATCACAGCTCTTCCTTCCAGTGCCATTTGCCCCTATCATCATCACCATGGAAGTCTGGGAGCTGCCTCAAGGACTTTTTGGGGAAAAATGGGGAAAAATACACTAAAGATATGCAAACTGAATTTACTGCACTTAATTGCAAAACACACACACACACACATATACACGCTCACGTACATATATACTTGAAGATATGAAATGCAGAAAAATGGAACTTGCAGAGTTCAAAGGAATCCCAAGAACGCTGGCATTTTTCCCTCCGTGGCACTTCTGTTAGTAATTAATCTTGAAATGCCTTTGCAGAGTTCGTGTTTGTTTCGAAGTTAGGAAATAAATGTGTTCCCCTAGGAGGACAAAATCCATCAATGTTTTATGTAAGTGAGAAATGAATTGAATTCGTCCCAAGAACATTTGTCACCCTCAGCGAGGACAAGAAATATGCTTTGCCCGCATCAGGCAAACAGCGTCTGCCCAGAAGGTACCGAGAAGCCCAGAGCTGAAGGAGAAAATGCACTTGATTTTTTTTTCTACTCACCCTTTAGCTAATGTTGCTATGCCAACGTCTGTTAACTTCATTCCTACACCTATGAAAAGAGAGAGCAAAGATGGAATTTGTGTTACTCGGGGCTGTTCAGAAAGGAGGGACCATCTACTCACAGGGAGGGATAGTGTCAGTGCCTCATCGTGTTCCTTTCTGCATAAACACACACTTTTCTCCTCATGTCCATCAGCAGAGGCCTCCTTCTGTCAAGGCTGACAGCCAGACTTTCAGGCTGCATCAGCTTTACGGGAGGATGACAGAGAAGGCAGGCCTCTGACGCAGCAATCCAGGGGAGTCCTGCCTCTCTAGGGTGGTGGCTATGGACGCTTGCTCCAACTCAGGGGACCCCTGCTTCAGTGTCACCATTGCAACCTAGCGACGGGCCTTTGATGGCAGAACACTGGGTCCCCACCAGTCTGTTTGGACCTGCCAGGCCCCGGGCCTGAATCTTGCCTGCTTCTCTCTTGCCCTTGACTCTTATCCAACTTGGGCCAGGCTGGGATGGCTGTGTTCCCCACGGCCAGCAGGAGACCTGCTCGTCTGTAGCCTGGAAGCACAGACACCAGTCTGGGTTGTAGACGAAGGAACCAGCATCCCACCAAAGCCAACCCTGAGGTTTGGCCTGACGGCAACTTAGTTGCGTGAGTCCTCACTCCTATGTGAGCAGTTTTCTGAGGCTCGGGAAAGGAATGCTAACGGATTAATACCCTGCTTCAGCAGAGCCCCCCTGGAGCACCGCACAAGTACAGGCTGTGCTGCTTTCAGGCTGGTTTATGAGCCAGAAGCAATGAGCCCCGCTTCTCGGCAGTGCACCTGTGAGCTGAATTAGACACGGCACTTTGGGTGAGTCAGTGAGCATTTTAAAAGGCTCCTTCACAGCTGGCAATGAATCCATCTCGTTCTTTCAAAGCTGCTAACAACAAGAGCATATGTCGAAATGCTTCGCATAGCCTTTTATTACAGGGACTGTGCTTTAAAAAAAAGGGGACACCAAATTGCAAAAGCCCTTTTTGAACATCTTGTTTCATAAGAAGTTGTATTTAAAAATCACAGCTCTAAGCTGCATAGAAGTCCAGTTTTCAAAGTCATTTGACAAAAGGTCCTTGAACTTGGGAATTGCTTTTTCTTGCTTTTCCCAATTACCGGCTGTCATTTACAGTTTAGAAAAATAGAATACAATTTTTAAAAGGAAATGTCCCTCTCTTGGTTTAATAATTTGCCAACAACCTGACTGAGGTTATTAAGAGTCTCTATAGGAAAATAGTTTAAATTCTAGTGTGCAACTATTAAACTGAGTCGGGGATAATAGTCATGTACAGGTTGCTTCGGATGGGAGGAAGCGGGCAGCATGATGAGTTTGTTTTCCAGAATTAGAGGTCTTTGGAGCGGCCGCCTCTCAGGAGCCCTAGGGTGTAGATCTTAGGGCCAAATCCCAGTCTTTCCTTTCACCCCTCAAACCTACAGGACCTGCCACAGTCCTGCCGACTAGCAAATGCAAACAGGCAGGGGATAACTTTTAAGAGTCTAGGAAGGTAATGGTTGAGTTTGGGTTGGTTTCTTTCATTTAATTCTAATACTAGCGCCTCAGTAAAATGATAAAATATGGATATTGTTTAGAGAACGGATGTGCTATTTTGTGCCATAATGACGATGACAATAAAAAGATTCTGCCCAGCAGCAGAGGGTAAATAAACACCATTACGAAACACCGCACCGCCACATTAAACCACACACGTCATTTGAAGAGAGATATAATATTCCAATAGAGCAGTGCCTGGAAATGAAACCAGCTGTGCAGGAAGCTCCGGGGTGCTACTTTTCAGCAGAAGAACAATAGTTAATGCAAAACGAACTCTGACGGAGAAAAGATGGGGGAGCCTCAATGCCTGCACGGCAGAGTCTAATCGGAATAGGTAGCTGTCTGTGCTGAGACCATGTTTGTGAGTGTGTGGCGGGGAAGAAGCCTCTTTGAGCCAGCAGGTATGGCTGCCTTCAGTGTGCACATCGGCCCCATCTGCGTGACTAACGCTGCAGTTCCCCGCTGGCCTTCGGGGACTCCCTCCCAGGAGTCTAACTTCAGGAGGCGCTGGGAAATCTCTCGCCCATCTGTAAAGTTGTGGATTAGTGCAAAGAGCTTGGGAGTTGGGAGTCAGAAATCGTGGGCTGGAGTCTTGGACCCCTCTGCTTATTAGCTGAGTGATACTGTCTCTGGGCCTCTCTTTTTCTCATCTGTAAAATGGGGACTTTGCAGAGTTATCAAGGTTGCCCTCTGCTTATTAGCTGAGTGATACTGTCTCTGGGCCTCTCTTTTCTCATCTGTAAAATGGGGACTGTGCAGAGTTATTCTGAACATTAAACAAAAATAAGAGGAGAAAATGAGTGCATACAAGAAGAAATCCAGGTAAGATCTGTGGTCTAGCTCATCGGATTGTGCCAACGTCAGCCTCCTAATTTTGATCACGTGCTATCGTTATGTGAGATGTCAGCACGAGGCGAAGCTGGATGGAGGTACATGGGACCTCTCTGAATATTTTTGCGACTTCTTGGCTACGGTCATTTCAAAATAAACATTTTAAAAAATAGGGAACATTTATTACGTGTCGATGCTTTGCTAAATGTCTTACTATCTGTGTGGACAAAGCTGACTCCATCTTGAAGCTAATCGGCCAGCTTGACTTCTGAGTGACTGAGCCTGGATCTCTGACGCCCTCCTCTTCCCCCGGGGTGACTGTGGAATGTGTCCAGAGGTTTCCGGCCGGTCAATGAGTTTCCATCACCCCTTCCTCTGGGGCAAGGCGCCCTAGATGTCAGCTATGTCTTAGCTCATCCTGGCTCCAGGGCCGGCTGATATCCGGCCTTAACCACGCACACCTGTCTCCTGGAGCCACAGCCCCATCTCTGAGGGGTATAAACGAAGGTGGTCTAGGAGGAGGAGGTGCTGGGGGATCTGACCATCCTGCTCTGCCCAAGACAAGCGTTTCCTGTACGTGAGCTTCCTGTTAAATTCATTCGCCTACAAGCTGGACTTGTCAGCCTCGTTCTTGGGTCTCTCAGCCCCTTCGGCATCTGAGGGCCACTTTGCATACGTGGCCTTTTCCAGAATACGATCTCATTTAATCCCCACAACAACCCCCTGTGAAAAGCACTGAGGTGAGTAAGTTGCCCAGGGCTAACAGCAAGGAAATGGAGGAGCAGGGCACGGAGCCCAGAGGCAGGCTTGCCTTTCACCGCCTTGCTGCGGCTAGATCTGACGGCCCTTGCGTGTGACCACGTCTGCCATTTAGTAGGCATACAATTACAGTTCAGATTTTTCTTAACAGCATGATTATTTGGAAAGAAGAAAGACTAGGAAACCCCTGTGGCAGGGCTGTTGGAGCCCCACCCACTGCCCTCACACCAACCGCTTCCTGCTCGCCGGCCCCACCTCCAGGTGCCACCACCAGCATGTCTTTGCCTGAGAAGTTTCTCTGATCACAGGATCCTGCTTTGCTTAGCTTGGCTTTGCCCATAGGCAGCTGGCAGGTCCTGGGGAGTCAACACCCCCACCAAAAGCAGCCTTCCACTGGTAACTAGAGGGAACTGGTATATAAACACCCCTGCTCCCTCGCTCCTTGGGTGAGGCTCCCAGAATTCCCCCAGCAGGCGTGAGCTGCAGGCACCCACACTGGGAACTGGCTGTATTATAAGATATTCTCATGGGCTGCCTTCCCTTTCCCTGTTACACTTGTCCACTTTCCTGCCGGTGTTTCCTGGGATCTCCTCTCAAATATTTGTACTTGAACATCTGTGTGCAATAAAGGATTAACGTGGCCCAAATAAAAATTTGTTCCTTGCCCGACTCCTGGGAGGTCATTTCTAAGCCCTTGGACTGTCCTGCCTGATAAGTATCTTTGTCTACCTCGTACCTTGGGCTATGTGGCATCCTCTCGACCTCTGCAGAGGCTAGAGACTAAGGTTAATCTCATGGACAGTCATTCACACCTACGTGGTGGGCCCCCAATAAAAACTGGACACCAAGGCTTGAGCTTCTTGGTTGGCAGTTCCGCAGGCGTGTTGCTACACATCATGGCTGGGGGGCGTAGGCACTGTCTGCATGATCCCACCAGAAGGGGACAACTGGGAGCCCCCACTTGGCCTTCCCTGGACTCTGCCTCATGCACCTGTTCTCTTTGCTGATTTAAGTCTGGGTCCTTTTGCAGTAATAAACTGTAACCATGAGTATAAAGGATTCTCTGAGTTCTGTGACTCCTTCCAGCAATTAATGAACCTGAGTGTGGTCTTGGGGACCCCCCCCCCAACACAACCTGTATCAAGGCTGTCTCTGTGGGAAACCTAATTATGACATCCCCACCTCATACAACAAATGTATCCCTCAAAATGTGTGTATAAATTGAAAACATGCTATAAATTCGCCAGGGAAGCTTGAAATCTAAAGTAACTGTGAAGGACCCTTTCACCTATTACAAACAAATTATCACATCTTAATTTATCTTCTGGCACATCCAGATTTTCAAATGTACTTCTGAGTCTGTGCCTGTTGGAGACATAACAATAAAGTCCATCTTCGGTGGCCTGTTATAATGGGAAGGCATTGTGGTTATGAATCATTCAAATGTACTTTACTACTCCATTTGGCTGGTCGTTTCAGGCCCCTCTGTCACGCCTTGTTTCTGACGAGACATCAGTAACACCTGCTGCTGGTGACGGTGCAGAAAGGCACCCAGCAGACTGCTCCCTCTCCTCCACTCCGCATCCCCAGAGCACCCCAGGCCCACCGCATCCCCAGAGCCTGGTCACGCTGCTTCCTCCTCACCCTGCATGTCCGTGACCAGGAGGCAGCCACTCGTTTTCTGGTATACCCAGTGCTGGAAGGTACAACACTTCTGACCAGCCTCCGATTCTCTTCTCAAGAAGTTGATTTCCTTCCCATCCCTAATAGAATACTTCACAAATTCTCCAATCAGCTCCTCCTCCACTGTAGCGTACGGGATGTTGTTCTCAGGTCGATGGATGAGAAAAATAGGAATGATCCTGGAAAGGAAGAGAACATGGGCACACATCATGTTCTCGGATGGGAATAAAGACTTCGAGGGCATCCTACCTCACCTGGAGTAGCAGGGAGCTTCAGAATAAACCCCTGTGTTCAATTCGATTTAGACTAAAAATGCCCCAGTGATTATTCAATAGGTAAAAAGATGTGTTTCTGTTGATTCGTACCTAGAAATGGTCAGAAATTCCCCCTTGGGATGGAGTTGAATTGCTCGTGCATAAATGAATGTCTCATTTTAGCCACATCTCAATGAACCATTGGTGACTAAATCCATCTATTCATCCATCATAAAGCCAGCCTTCCTTCCTTTCCTTCCTTTCCTTTCCTTTCCTTCCCAGGTGACTAAATCCATCTATCCATCCATCATAAAGCCAGCCTGCCTTCCTTCCTTTCCTTCCTTTCCTTCCTTCCTTCCCTTTCCTTCCTTTCCTTCCTTTCCTTCCTTTCCTTCCTTTCCTTCCTTTCCTTCCTTCCTTCCTTCCCAGCTGAGTAATATATCATTGATTATATATACCACATCTTCTTTCTTCATGTGCACCTGTTGTCCTTCCTTCCTTCCTTCCTTCCTTCCTTCCTTCTTTCCTTTCCAGTCAACAAATATTTATTCAGTGGTTTCGAGGTGTCAGACGTTCTTCCAGACACTGTTCCAGAAAACAGCAGTAAAAAAAACCCCCCAAAACAGGCTCTGCTCTCATAGATCTTACATTTAAATGAAGGAGACATATAGTAAACAAGAAAATGTATAGTTCTACGTGCTATGTGAAAAAAATAAAACAGTGTAAAGAAGCTTGGTAGTTCAGGGGTGGGGGAGGAGCTGAGTTTTATTTCGGGAAGTCACAGAAGGCCTTGCTGACAGAGGACATTTAAGCTGAGAGCTGCAGGAAGTGTGGGCGGAGGGGCACGAGGCTGTCTATGGAAAGAGCCTTCCAGGTAGAAGCAGCACAGATGGAAAAGGCTCTGGGCGGGAGCGCGCTCAGTGCGTTGGAAGCACAGGGAGGGGGCCGGCATGGCCGGAGTGCGGTCAGCCAGGGGAGAGGGTCGTGGACGAGTGCAGACAGGGAGGAAATGACGGAGGAAATGGGAAGCCAGACGTGGGGGGGGAGGTCTGGTTGGCCATTTGAAAAACTCTGCCCTTTGTACTGAATTGATGAGAAGCCTTGGAGGATTTGGGGCAAAGGGATGACACGATCAAACTGCTATGTCACAGGGATCTCTTAGCCACTCTGTGTGGAGCAGACTGTGCGAGGGCCAGGGCAGAGGCAGGGAGGCCGGAGGGAGGCGCTGGCCTGACGATGGCAGCTTGAAGCGGAGAACCGACCAGATCCTGAGCGCACTGTCAGCGCTAACCCATTCACCGTCATGCCGCCCTAGATGACCGCTTCCTACCTGCTCCTCTCACCTCTAACCACCCACACCTCCTCCCCAACCTCGCTCTCAGCTGATGACCTGCTTCCTGTTTCACTGTGAAAACCGAAACAATAAGAAGGGAACTTCTAAGAGCCGCCACTCCGCAGCTCCCTCCTCCCCGGGTCTGCACCCACGTCCCCCGCCTTCCCGCCCCTCCTGCGGAAGAGCCCTCGTTGTTCCGACCTGAACCCCCTCGCCCACTGGAGCCTGGATCCCAACCGCTCTCGAAGGATGTTGCTCAGGGGCCTCACTCCAGCGGTTGTTCCCCATTCTCTCCCGTCCACGTTTCCCTCTCCAGAATCCTTCTCAGCAGCACGGCCACGTGCCACAGTATCTCTCCACCGCATGCTGACCCCACAGCCCACAGTATCTCTCCACCGCATGCTGACCCCACAGCCCACGTCGAAACTCAGTTCAGTTGTAGACTCGCTGTTTCCGACCCGTGCGCTCATTCCCTCTCGATCCCACGCAGAGAGGCTTCCCCACTGAAGAAGCTTCGGCCAAGGGCACCATGGGCACCATGCTGCTGAGTTCACGGTCTCCTCCCAGCTCTCGACTGCCTTGCTCTCCGCGGCACTGAGCCAGTCTGTCTTTCTTCTTTCTGAGACACCTTCCCATGGCTTCCAGAAACCCACCTCCTCCTCGTTTTCCTCCTGCTTCCCTACATACTTCTTCTCTGTCTCTTTGGTGGCTCCTCAGTTGTCCCCAACCTCGAGACCCTGACATGGCCTGGACAGCTTGCCTTTCTCCGCACTCCCCCGCCCCCGCCCCCCACAGTGACCTCCTTGCTTTAAATACAACCTGCAGGTCAGTAATTTCCACGGTTTGTGGCTCCGGCCCAGACCCCTCCCCTGGATTCCTGACTCATATTCCCAGCTACGTACTCTCCGTCTCCACTCGATTCGAAGAGGCGTCTTGAATTTAACACGGTAAAAACTGTTCTACTCATTCGCTCCAGCCTCCTACATCGGCCCCGTCTTGGTGCCTGGCAACTCTATTCTCCTGTTCTTCGCACTCAACAAACACACCTACTGAATAGCTTGGGCCAGAACCTCAAAACCCCACTAGTGAAGTGGAGATGAAAAAGACAGAGTCCCTGCTTTCTGGGGTAAGTCACTGCAGCACCCAACTCCCTACGCCTAACACAGACAGGCAGCAGCCCTCCAGGGGCAGCGTGGCCCGAATTGAGTCGTAAAGACTGTGCGGAAATAAGCTGGCGGAGCGGGGGGCAAGCCCATCCCCTACATTTCGGTACCCCATATCTCTGTCTCCGCTGACCCACGCACACAACGCACAAGCCAATTCGAGTCCCACCTCCTGACCCTCTCTTCACCCCACCCTGCCTGGACTGAGGGTTCCCTGACACATCACCCTGAGCTCCACCCCAGTGATGCTCTGCCCGCACCTCCCACTCCCCAACACGGTAACTCCGGCACTAAGCAGGATGTGATGTCACGACTGGCCATTTCCACCTGCCACGGGGCAGGAGGCGACTCATCAAAACACAAGGAAGCTTGTGAAAGATTCTGCGTGAATCCTTTTCACCCACTACTCACTGCAGGAGAAACGACGAGTATGGCAGAGCCGGCAAACTGTCGCCTCTGAGCCAAATCCTGTTTTCATCCAGCCCACGAGCTAAGAATGATTTTTACAGATGAACATTTGCAACTCGTTTGGTTGTAGGGAACACTAACTCTGAACCCTAAATGTAAGCAAAGTTACTTTAAAAAGTTAGCAAAATATTACTTTAAATCTTTTTTCATTCTTCTCCTTAGTAAACCTGTCAAAATGATCATCGATGATTATTATATTTTAAAATGTATCGACAAAGATGTATAGATTTTGCCTCTTGGTCTACAAAGCCCAAAATAGCTACTACCTGGCCCTTCACAGAAAAAGCTTGCCAAGGCCTGGTCTCGAGTTTCGTCTTCCATTGGTTACTGTCATCTTACTCTTCACTTCCTCCCTCTGGCCCAAGGCCACGAATCTGATTTCGTCTCCCCATCCTTAAAAACTACCATCGTCACCTTCATTTGATGGGACTTTGCCACAGATTTCGTTCCAATTCCCTTTGCTTCCTTCATGTCCTAGACGAGGAGCCTCCATTTGTATCTATTCCAAGTGACCTCGATTCCGAGTCCCTCTGTGACCCGTTACCCCTCACTTTACAAACACCCCACTCGCTAAGGTCATCCATTCTGGGCTTCCAGTTATTCCCTGGGACACTCCTGCGGCATCTGATGGCGTTAATCTCTTCTCTCTGGAGTCACCTTCTGCCCTTGACCTTGGGGATTGTTCCACGGCAGTCGCTTCTTCGCATTTGCTGACAGCTACTCGACACCTCGACCCCCGCGTGTTTGCGTTTCTCGGGGTTCCCCCTTGGCCCTTTCCTCTCCTTGTTCCGCCACACGCTCTGCCCAGGTGATGGCACCGTTTCCACAGCTGCAGCGACCATGTGTACGCTGATGACCAACCAGCAAACCAGCTCGCTGGTCCCTTCTCTCCCTCCAGCTCCAGGCTTAGAAGACCAAATGCCAGGGGCAGTTCGATGGACCACGGAGACCGAAAACCTCGGACTCGGCACATGCAAAACAAATTCTTCACTTTGCCACACGCCTGTGGGGGTCTCCTCCCTGCCTTCAGCATCTTCAAGTGGCAGCTGCATCTTCGCAGCCTCCTAAGTTAAACACCTCACATTCATACTCAGGCTTCTCTGCCTTCTCACTGCCCGCGTCAAGTCTTATTAAATTCAAAACAGAAGCTGCAGAGTGGAGCGCTTCATTCTTTAGACGCCGCGTGCCCCATAAAAAGGAACTTCTGAGGCCGGCTTCATTGTCAGGAATAACCATGGGGGTGGCCTGGGTGGTGCGGCGGGCTGACCGAAGAGCCTCCAGGGCAGGTCAAGGGCCAAGCCCTCTCTCTGGGCGCACGGGCCACGGCTCAGAGCCCGGGGCTCTCGCAGGAGACTGCGACTGTGTGGGACCTGCTGGGGGCTTCCCTTTCCGCGCTGTGAGCCCTGGTCCCTCACCGGCCCCTTCCTTCTTGGGGTTAACCGGATGCCCCCTCCCTCCTCTCACAGCTGCTGACCAGGCCAATGCGGCTTGTGGTCCCTGCCCCGCCTCCCTGCACACGGGTGCGTTTGGGGCGGGGGAGCGCTGCTCGCCCCACCCCCGCACGTTGGCTGCAACATCCCGCTTACTCATCTTTTCTAACATGGCTTCAAGGGCACAGGGCTTGAAGAAGACCAGTGTGTGCGCGCGTGTGTGTGCGTGTGTGTGCGTGTGTGTGTGCGTGTGTGTGCGTGTGTGCGCGTGTGTGTGCGTGTGTGTGCGTGTGTGCGTGTGTGCGTGTGTGCCCCAGTGTAGAATCCTCTGACTCTGGTTCAGTAAATGTGGAATCTGGCACAGATGCCCTTCTGAGGACCTTGATCCCGATCCCTCCCGATATCATCACCATTCCCGTGTTCACATGTTCTCCCACGGGAAGAAAGGGAAAGGGGTTTTGGATATCAGAATATCCTGATCCGTCTTCAGAGCGGTGGCGTATTTACTGGGATGCTGATGAAGCTGATGAAGAGCCCGTGTCCCTCATTTGCACAGGCCTTTTCCAAGTCCCTGGACAGCCTCCACAGTCATAACTTAGTGTCCTTTTCCTCAGACAGGGCCCCAAATTGTGTACAAGCCAAGCGTCTCACAACTCGGGCCTGTGTCCCCGGAGGCGGCTCCGGCTCCGTGCGCAGTGGGCTGATCACCTGGCTAACACTCTTCCTCCTGGAGAAGAATGTGAGGGGACACGGACTGGGACGGGGCAGGACTGGGGGAGAAGGAGAACGGGACCGAACTCGCTCCGGATTGTGTCTTGGTGTGTTCAACTGAAAAGCAATTAAACATTTTCCTTCTGTTGTGCTCATGTTTCTTGAAATTGCCGAGAAATGTTTGTGTGCTAAATAAGTAAGTTAAGCGCTCCTTGGTAATGAGCGGACGGTATTAGACTTTGTATGTGGTGTGCCCCACGTCCCGCCTCAGGGGGAGAAGCTCTCCCATTTTCTGAGCTAACGAGAAGTGTAGACAAGAATTCTTCCTTCTCTCACTTTTTGCTGATATATATGAATGACTGTTCGCTCTGAAATTCCCAAGGTGCAGTGTGTCTCCTCCCACTTAGGCATGCACGTATGATCTCGACCACATAAAAGACCAGTGAACACAAGCTCCAGACACCCGAAAATTTGCTTGGGTGAATAAATATTTGGTCAATGAGCAGATAAAGTAATCGGTGCAATTTATCTCTGCAGGATTCCAGAAAATGGGTACCACGTTCCGATAATCCTGATCGCCAATTCACTCTTCCCTGACACAGCACCGCATTTTATTGTCATCATAGGACTAATTGGTTTGTAATAGTCTTGTGTTCTCTCATATTTGCTTATTATTTAGACAATGTAATATCCATGAGAGTAGAAACCCTTTCTTTTCTACTTAACATAATACATTTATTGCATCCATCCATCCATCCAACCACCATATGTTTATTTAAAGAATATTTATCAAGTATCTTTTTGTAAGCCTCTAGTGACCCAGTGAAGAACAGGACAGCAGCCATGTAAGCCCCCATAGATTTCAGACAGAGGGACCAATTGAAATGCTCGTCTTACTGGGCCTTCTCAACCTCTCGTCTTTCCAGGCCTCCCAAGTCCCCAACAAGTCCAAGGTGGAAATATAAGACAGGGCAAACACACTTACTCAGGCACTTCTCCAAAGCCTTCCAGAGGCTGTGCTTCAGCAGCATAGATCTTGGCGTAGCATCTGGCAGTATTTTGAACATAGCATTCCTATATCACCAAACGCATGGGAAAACCGAGCGATCAGAGGAAATCCAGAGAGTTGCTGCGTAAAGCTAATCAGATTTCCTAATATAGATCAAGCCAATGGATTCCCAAACCCATCCCCTGGTTAGGGGGCCACAGAAGAGACAATGGGTATGACCTAGAGTTGTTCAATTACATAGGAGCTCTGAGACCTGAACGAACTATCTAGGTGAAGGTCAAGTGGTCTCTGGGGCCAAGTGTCTCTGAATTATAAAATTTGTGGAACCATATGGGTGAAGTTCACCCCTGAGCTAAGGGGACTGGCCCCTTGGCAGGATGTCAGATAAAGCTTGGGACCTGCTGGGTTTCCCATGAGTTCTCCCATCTGAGACTCCTCTTCAGAGGTGCAATTTGAGTTGTAAAGAGTGAACACCTTGACGAGACTGTTGGCTTAGGGAAAGCAGGTTGGAGACTGCCTTCTACTCTGTGGGCCCTTTCCAAGTGGGAGTCTGGACACTAGGGGATTTTCCACGACTGGGCCAGATGATACTTGAAATAGAAAGAAAACCCAGTGAAAGAAAAGGGGCGAGGGAAGGGTGAATTTGGAGGAGAATGAAATACAATTGGCAAAAACCCTATACCCGGAGAGGAGGGGCTGCCTTCGTGAGCACTGAGCCCCACGTGACGCTGCCGCATCTGAGAGCATCACGTGTGGTGAATGCCTGAGAGCAATCGAGGCATTCATCTACGTCCATCTATTCATTTTATTGGGAAAACGTTTTTAAAGAGCACCTAGTTTGTAAAAGAGCTGGTCCCAGCTCTCCTGAAAGCTTGGCTAGTGCTACTGGCAAGAGTGAAATATGTGGACCGAAGTGGGAGAGGGAGGAAGGGAATGAAGGTGATGCTCCCTTCCTCTCCCCTCTTGCCTCGAGAGTGTTGTGATTTAAGAAAAAAAAAAAAAAATACTGTGATTCAATAACATAGATAGGTGGGAACTTTAGAGCTAGAGACTTGGGTCACTCTCTTTGTAGCTTATGGGCTTGACATCGAAAAAAACTCAGGAAGTCAGGAAACAGGACAAATGCCTCTGTCCTGTCCTTCTAAATATATCCCACCTCCTTCTGCTTTCATCCAAAACAAAACACCCCAGAAACAGCTCCTGATTTTCGCTGTCTTTGAGGATCCTGGCATCCGGTATAGCTTAGAACTGCCACTTTCCATACCATCCTGAGTCCGAGTAAATGCAGAGCCTCCGGGATCTCAGAGGGATCCCTGGGAACAGAAACGATCTCATCTCAGGGCAGAACTAGTGAGGTGTCTCCAGACACAGGCTGAGTCCCATCTGGCTGGCACGAGGCTAAGAAATTATTCCTGGGAGCAGAGACGGGGCTCCAGCAATTGGCCTTAATCCAGTGGCTGCCTTATAACCACACCCCAAAGGGAGAAAAACACCCTCTTGGAGACACTCCCATTGATTCTGAGTCTGATTATCATGAGTCCCTCTCATACATCACAAAATACCTTTAGGGTAGGTGGACCCACCTGGGCAGCGAGTTTGTAGTTTCTCTGGATGAGCTCGTCGTTGTTTCTGGTCCCGTAGGCAACGGCATTGTGCACCTTGAGCACGCAGGCGTGGCCGGGCTGGAAGACGGGCATGAGGCCCTGCATCACTTTGCTGCGGAAGGCCTTTCGGTGGACGCCTTCTCCAAAGTGCAGCTCCTCTGTGGCGATCTGACCTCGCAGGTGGGCCCCGAAGTAGCTGTCGTGGAGGAAGTCTTCTTTAAAGATGAGCTGGCTGAATTCGATCTCTTCACATCCTGAAACATAGCTCAACTTTAGTCGTCTCCTCCATCTTCCTCGATGATCCATCTCCCCAACTCATCTTTGAGCCATGCTCCGTTGGGAGTTAACTGTGATTTCCCCTTTTAGGTTCTACAGGTCAACCTTGTCATTTGTCCCTATCTGGGAACATCGGTTAGCCAAAAAGCAGGATTGGGGGATATCTGAAGGTCAGTGCGAGGCCCCAGTGGATTAGATAAAAGGGGGGGAAGATTGGTTGGAACCGAACTGGGAAGACCAGGGAAAGAATTTTAGACATATCTGGAAAATATTAGCAGAACCATGACAGGTAATTAAAGGTAAGTTGAAAAGATGGATAATGTGTAGAGGAGGGAAGACCAATGATAAGATCCGATAAATCGATGTTTCTCAATCTTTTTTTTTCATTCTTTTTAGACTTTTTCCTAATTGCCTCCCATAAAATTTTAATACCACAGATGTATTGTATATCTGATTATCTACTCTATGTGTATCTGTGCTCTATACACAAAAAGAGTGTTTTTTGCCTCCCTAAGAACCGATTTTTGCCTTTTGCGGGGCAATACTGCCTTTTGAGGATTCCTGTGGTAACTATAAGAAACAGGCAGGCAAAAATCAAACCCAAACAAAGCAAAATAAGTAAAAAAAAACTGCCTTTGGGGAGAAACTGAAAAAAGGTAGAATGACTTTGGATTTATTTGTAAGGAGAAAAGCAGAATTATTTTTGTTTTCTAGCAGATGTTTCAGAGATGACTCTGTGCATGTTTCCGATAACGATGGATTGAATCAGAATGTTCCATTTTAAACTAGAGCTGGCCAAGTCAGACTTCTGATTGGCTGAGAGAAGAAAGGAGGAGATTTTTTTAATAAAATGAGATAGTTGACATTTTTAAATGACTTCCACTCCTCAAAGTCAATGAAAACTGTCACCTTTCTGAATGCTTAAAAGAAGAAAGACATTATGGGTTGTGTGAAAATCTCACTTCGCAGTTCTATTTAGAATATTTAGAGAAATGTTTTCTCTTTTTTAAAAAATATTTTCAAATCATATCTTTTAAGAGCAGTCTATGCCTGATGCTAACTCTTAAAATTATGAGGAGACTGAAACTATTCTTAAGGGTATTGATTAAAATCTAGGCCTAATTGTTGAAAGAAAAGAAAAGAAGAGAAAAGAAAAGAAAGAAGGGAGGAAGGAAGGAAGAGGACAGGTGGGGTTTTCAAACAGAAAAAGTGGGTGTAGGTGCCAGTGGAAGGAGTATTCAGAAAGATGCTCCAGGACTTTTCACAAAGGCCAGCAGAAGTCTCCTGCTGAGTTTCTACTGAGAACTGGGGGAGCAGCAGGAAAACACATAGGCAAACGAGGCATTTTTCAGATAACCTTTAAGGAGATGGTTGTATCACAGATTTCATCCTAAGTAATAAGACCAGACTTTTTTTTTTTTTTTTTTAATTTATGGAGAAGAGTGTCATTTTATTTTCTTAAGTTAAATTTAAAAATTAGATAACAAAATGGAGAGGGAATACTTTTCATACAACCCAAATCTTCTCAATTCTAGCTACATAATTAATTTCATTTGAACAATTTGGCCCCTAATGCCACTTAGAAAGTGTTTTATGTGTATATATATAGGAGCCCAATAAACCACATTTACTATACTCTATTTTCCTTCAAAATCCCCAAATTTCTAAAATTCAATTATTCTTAAAAGTAAGAAGTTTGTGCACTTTATGTTTTAAGATTCATCGAATTTAATGCTCCAGATTGTATGCTTAGAAATACCAAGGAATTTTTTTGTACAGTACTCTATATGGTATCATTAACAATCCAGTCTATAATTTCCAACTGAAATGCCTACTTAACAAAGATTTAAAAAATTAAAAAGTAATGTATCTGAGGACTTTTCTTTGAAAGTCCTGTGTGCTACCATTAAGTTGTTCTAGTTTGTTTTATTTGGACCATCATTCATTTTAGTTTTCCCTATGAACTTAGTTTTATTAGTTTATTAATTAGAGACCAACTTGTATAAAATGGTATTTGTTCCTCCTCAAGGATATTGAATTAATAAAATGTTTAGTGGGCGAGATTTCTCCAAATAGAAAAAGGTGATAAAGACATCTTTTGAAGCATCTTCATCTGACAGTGCATGAAGAAGGAGAGGACAGGCCCCCCACCCCAACCCGATGAGTCATTGAAACTGGAACCCCGGCCTCGGGGAGAATAAGCTGGGAGAAGGTGACGTCATCAGGGGATGGACCCAAATTCTGTGGTTGGAGTCACAGGGCTAAAACAGGGGTGTGATTTCCACCAGGTGGCCAGTAGCTTACCCCCATTGGGGTCTCGTTCTGGACTGTTAAAAACCTTGAGAAATGAGTTTCTGCAAACCTAAATGAACGAGGTCCTAGCCAGTCTCTGGGATGCGACAGCCAAGCAATGCTAAGAAGCTGATGGAAACAGAGACACCCTTCTTCCAAAGGTGGTTTTGTTTTCTGAAAGATAACAATGTAGGGCATTCTTTTGCATATTTTGACTTTTGGGGAGATGGGCACAGAAATGGAAGAAGGATTTAGGATTATAACACAAGTACACTACCCAGTAAAGACAGGTATTTAGCATTTGAGAGGGTTTGCGGAGAGTCTGCGTTTAAGTTTGTTGTTTTGAAGAAACAGTAACAATATTTGCTAGACCATGTCGAAGTCGAGATCCCAGCTCTATGCCTTTAATGTACTGTATCTTGATTGTCTGTACTGTCTCATTTTCTCGAAGATTTCAGATATTCGCTTTAAAAATCCACATATGCGATAAATCGTTAAGATGCGAAATCAATTTAATTATCAGAGTTTTATTCCTATCCATCCTAGACATGAGCAAGGGCCCTACACTGAGCAGGAAGCTGTGGTAACATGGGGGGCAGGGAGGGGGAGGCCTGAGAGGTGAGCTGGAGTCGCCGGCTCCAGCGCCTGGGAGCTGATCGTGGGCATCGCTTCCCACTTCCACGTTCTCACGATGTCACACTGGCAGTTTAAAATTGGCCAAAGTAAGAGTATATACGTCACGGAAATTGAAAACTGTAATACAGGGTCTCTCTTCCCTCCTGCCCCCTGACAAGTATGTTTTTACATATTGACCAGCACATTGACTGCTGAGTGGGGGTGGGGGTGGGCGTGTGTGTGGGAACTGGTCATTTTCTCTAAGAGGAGCTACATGACAACCATGGACGCCACCAAACTGTATTCAATGTGTAGCCCACAGCAACGTGAGTGTTGGGCTGCTGTGCCAGGTGTGCACAAGCGACAAAGGACAGCCCGAAAACCCGTCTTTCATCTTCATCAAGCTGCAAATGAATGGAGTTACTCTCCTGGACACCTGGCTCTCTTTGGGAATCTGCTCAGCTAGTCAAACTGAAAAGTAAACTGAAGAAACAAAGCATACTGGGTAAGGGCCAGAGGCTGAAAAGCCCCACGCAGATGGCTGCCTGCGAGCCTGATGCTTAAAGGAAAAGGTCTAACCCCAAACTCGCCCTCGGCAAGTTCCCAGAAACTGCCTACTACAGTCTGATCTCTTTCATAAATGATACCCTTCTGGATATTGGTAGCCTGGTGAACTTACAATGGGTCTCAGAATCAGGTTGTGAGGTTAGCTTACCTTTAATGTCCTGGTGACTTGAAAGTTGTTGGAGAACTAAAAGGTACAGAAGAAAATGCCTTTAGTAGAAATGAATGCCCCGAACTGATAGAAACTAGCAGTTCTCGTCTGAAGCTGAAAGGTGGAGCTTTACCTTCCGTGGTGAGGTTCAATTCAGCAGTCGCTTTTCCATAACTGTTCTTGATGCAGCAGTGATAGAGGCCCTGGTCCTTCTGACTGGCCTGCACGATGACCAAAGACACAGCGGAGCTGTCTCCTGCACTGCAGTGGGGGACATTAACATCACACGCATCATCGTTCTGAAGTTGCATTTTTTTCTAATACACTGAAAGACAAAAACAAATGCTCCTCGGACCTAGTGCTTGAAGCCAATGAGCTGGCTAAAGAACAAGGTCACGATAAGCCATTTAAATCATTTATTTATCTGTAAGGGATGATCAGTACAATTTTTGTTAAACACCCCACTCTACTGTGCAATGTGAATACACAGAAACATTCGAGAGGTTTGACTGGCATGTGAAGCCTTAGCCAAGGGTCTGGTCTGGTGACTAGTCACGAACCATCAAAGCAGGTTAGCTGCTATGTGCCCAGTCCTGGGGTATTTGATGATGAAATTAAAAAAAGAAAGAAAGAAAGAAAGAAAGAAAAAAGGCCCAGTCCTTGCCATTGAGAGTCTTCCTATCTGGGAGGAGATGGACAAACGGAAAACTCCAGTACAAACCGTGGGAAGTGAAAAGAAATATCTTGCACCTTTTTGAATCAATAGGGAAAAGCTCAGTTTCACATCCTGTTACCCTGTAAAAGACAAATCTCTTTTTTTCAGGGGAGGAAATGGCCAAATACAGAAAGGTCTGAAAAATAGTAGAGCTAAGCTGGGGAGACAAACTCAAAAGAAGCCTATGTCACATGTGGGATCAGAGTAACATTGCCAAGAACTAAACTGGCTGGGGACTTCTCAGAAGACTCCATCACCCACCACCAGCCCCAGGGGCCGGAGTGGCGTGGTGCAGCATCCACTGCACAACATCCGGTCTGCGCTGAGAGGTCCTTGAGTGTCCTTCCTACGGCCCACCAGTGAGAACCCATCTTCAACAGCAGCCAGCTTGTCATTCCCTGGTTGTCAGGCAGGAATGATATGGCCTGGGCTCCAAGACATTGCTCAGCTTTCAGCCAAATCCACTCCATGGGGACAACTGCCCTTTCAAAAGCCTGGGGCACTCTGGTTGCCGAGAAGGTACCGATGGCCCAGGGAGCACTGGAGGGTGCCAGCTCGAGTTCTTCATGGAGCCGAGACATTGCACAAGGCGCCATTACACAAACACTCAGAGAAAGCTACCACTTTCTTCTAGGTTTGCTCAGAGCACGTTTGCTTTTCCCTAGCTGCGAGAAAGTGTCCTGACACCTCATTTCCACACCTCAGCCTGTTAAGGAAAAGAATCCAAAACGTGGGGGACAAAGGCAAAAGGATGATTGCACGTCCTTTGTATGTCACTGTTTAATGGGCTCGCCCAAGGGAGAATTTGCTATTTACTGTTGAAATAGAACCCACCTAGATGCTCGAGTTGGAACCTATAGGTTTCCGTCCAAGAGAAAAGATAACCTCCAAGGTTTATTACCTGTATTGCCTGTCGAACACTAACCAGTTCTGTATATATGCGCAAACCCATTTGAGCGTTCCTTTCCCTGATTGACTATGTAAATCTCCATCGTTCAAATGCTTGTGTGGACAGCTTTATCATCTTACCGGTTCCTCATTATTTAATGAGTTGAAGAAGACCTTTGCTACATGTTCTTATATTTCAACTTTTTGAAAATTATATCTTGATGAGGCAGTAAGATATTCCATGGCGGGGCATGTAAAGAAAACACTCACCTGGAATTAGGGGTGAAAGAAATTTGATAATATTTGAAATCCCACCTGAAGTAACGTAAATGACCACTTAATATGAAGGGAATTATGACTCCCAAATATCCTTGAGTGTGAGCGTAGAGAAGGGAAACGGGTTCCCCTAAACCAGACTGCGGCCAAGAAGAAATGAAGCGAACATCGCTAAGACTGGAAAGGCCTTGGCCACGTGTCATCCTTGGTCAATAACATGGTACTAGGGTTATATGCGCCCTAGAGAGAGGTTAGGCTTTTAAAGACGCCTCAAATGGAAAAGGGACCTGAAAGATTCGGGTGCCAGTTCTGAGCTTAGAGCAAAACTGCAGAAAATGCTGGTTAATTGTGCTTGGCTGACGGTTACAGAAAGTACTTTAAATGATTAATGTGTACTTCCTTTTTATAAAGCTTAGAGAATATCTTTGATTTAAAAATCAAGCTATTATTTCTCCATCCTAATTCTTCTTAAGCCATACATAAGACAGGCAGGTAAGGACGACATTTCAGGCAAAGCGGCTTTATTATACCAATTATAACCCAGTTAGATTTTTTTGGAGTCATGTTATAGAAACACAACTATAGCTCAAATGTTCCACAGTGGCTCTAACATCAAGACATGGCATTAACGTCAAGACATATGTTCCAAATAGACGTATCTGATTTAGTTATACAGAAAAACTCTCAGATTTTCTCACTTTTTCAGTCTACTTGAGGCACGATTAAGGGGAGAGAAACAGACCTCCCACGACTCGGGGAGCTGAGCCAAGATTTCCTTCGCCAGAGAGAAGTTTCTGATAGTTCGGGTTATAGAGTTTCAGTGGACCCAGGTGATCTGTCTCTAGAATGAGCCCCGCCTCCTCAGGTATATCAGATGAAGAGCGAGTTGGTCAGTTCACTCGAACAAGTATTTATTGCCAGGAGGGTGATTGAGGAAGCTTCGATCAGATTCATCCCAAACAGGGTATTCCTGGCAATGATTCTCTCTCATTGCTTTCTCTTCCTCCATCTCCAGAAACAGACTGGCTTTCCTGCCTCAGAGCTGGCTGCTTATCACTTTCAATAGCTGCTACTTTTCTGCAACCCCATGGCCTGTTTTTTCCTTTTGATTCACCTTAGCTTCATTTGATCTTTGTCAGCTTAATGGGAATTTATGAAATGGAAAACATAGCAAAATTCGGACATAGAGAAGAAAGCTCTTTAATCTTGGGACCACAGAAACTCGGCCTAGAAGATGATTTGACATCTTCTCCTAAATGTAATGGAAATGTAATAATTTTCAAAATTAAAATTTAAAAATGTCATTAAAAATGTTTTTAATTACATGTTTACATGTAATGACAGGTTTCATGACTTCCTAAGGCCACAAAACTCAACGGCAGCACAGCCAAGCAAGACCCATCACCATTTTCCCCATCTAGACATCTGTCTTCCATTACTTACTCTTCTTGGATGCTTTGGGTGTGGAATTTCTGCTTCAATTTCCCTCTTTGCTTCCTATAATTTATTATTTTATTTTAGAGCTTTATTGTGAAACAAACAAGGAACAACTGTGAAAAGTAACCAGAGACAAATGCCGTACCTTCTCTGCACTTGGGCTATTGACTTTGAATCTTTTGTCCACCAGATTGTAGAATCTTCATGAATTTCCCCAAACTGGCAGCTTAATTTCACATTTCCGGAGCAGTCAGGGAACATCTCAGCTTGGATCTTTTTCAGTAATATTGGAGCTAGAAACGAGAGATTTGCAGGTCAGTGTTCCTATAATCATTGCAAAGAGGTTTACAGTGGGGAAAAAAAAGCCTTTCCCACTCCATCTCACTTAATTCTCATGACGATCCCAAGAGACAGGAGTAATAATTACCATCCTCAATCTACAGATGAGGAAACTGAGTATCTGAGGGGAGATTGGCTTGCCTAAACAGCAAGAAAACGAACAAATCAATCTAATGGGAAACTCTTACTTTTCATTACTTAAAATTCCTCAAGTGAGGTCTTTAATGCACAAAGTGAAATAGAACTTGAGGATTTTTTTTTAATGATGGCAGCGCTGGGGGCAGGGTTATAGATACCTAGTCTATAGGACCTGGTTCAAATAAAGATGCTTTTAAATGATCACCAGATGATCCGGATCAAAATCAGAGCTGGGCATTCGGGAGTAGAATAAAATGTGGATTACCCAAAAAACTGTGGTTAAGCGCTCAGATGTAAAACGCAACTCAACGTTTGTTATTTGCTGGAAAATCTTCATCTACCTTTCCTCTGATAACTGTCATCTTTGCTGAAGATATCTTAGTGGATTGCAGTGATGTCTGACATTAATTTCATTAACGAAAGAGAAGCGTCCACTTGAATAAAATAAGAGCAATAAGGAAAGATTCCTAGGGTTGGAAGAAGACTTTTGAATACTGCTTTTTAAATCAGGGATGAGAGCTAGGACTGCAGGGCAAGTATGTAGTTACACAGGGCAGCCACTGGGTGGCAGCATACCCATTAGAACAAAGATGGAGGAGCCAGCCAGGTGGTCAGAATCATTTGGCAGGCAGGGAGTTTACTGGAAATGTGGTGTCAGTCGATTAGAGACCAAATTCCATAACTCCACAGCTTTGGTAATATAAAATATGATATAATCGACAGCCAAGACAAAAATCATCAATACCAACGCTTTGCTTGCTCTGTTGCCTCAAATTCTCCCGGTGCGAAATAGTCGATGTGTTAAATGTGATTCCCACCTCTCCTTGGAGCCGACAAACACTTGGATAACAGAACGCATATTTAAAGGCTTATTCTCCTCCCAGGAAGTGATAATGAGCTGCCTGGGTAACATGTTCTTCAGCTGGAGAACAGCTGAAGGTACTAACAATATTACGAGAGAGCGAGAAAACATACCAAGTATTCGTGGATGGAACCCCGTTCCCATTCATGCGGCCCCGCTGGCTCTCGCTAGCCATTTTAGGTGTTCAGGCCACAGTCTCAAACCCCCGGTCTAGCGTCTTGACCAAGCCCACCTCCTCTGGGACATATTTTCTAGAGAGCCCTTCCGACACTGTGCGGTGACAGTCTTTGTGGGTGATTTGGGGAGGCCTAAACGTTTCCAAGGCTACCAACCCCATCCACAGCCTGTTGTAAGTTCCGAACACTTATAACAGAGGATGGAGGAACGGCCATAAAACGGGCAGCAGAACTGACCCCATCCACAGCCTGTTATAAGTTCCGAACACACGGAAAATTAGGGGATGGAGGAACGGCCATAAAACGGGCAGCAGAACTAAATGAGGGCCTTTGAGAGAGAGGAAGCTGGCTGGACAGGAGGCCTCAGCGCCGTGGGAGGCACCCCTCTTTGGGTGGGGCAGAGGAAGCAACGCATATGACGGAGCTACGAGGAGGTCTGGGTGTGTAGTTGTACTGAGCTTTCGGTGTCAAAAAAAAAGGTCACTCATTTCGTTTAATTTCTTTCAGAATCATCCAAGTCATCCCCCACCCCCAACTCCTACCTGCCTCAGGTGTCAGGTGCGAGAGCACCGCCCCTCCTGGAATGCGGTACCCTCATCTTTGCCGCCGTTGGCTAGGCCCACTTTAGAGATCTTTTAAAACATCGCTCCATTCTCTTTAAATGTGCTTAAAAACATATGGACCAGCGACCTGGTTCGATCTCTCCAAACTCCTCGGAAGGCGGTTTTGTATTTAAACCTTTCTGCGGCCGGGCTGAGGGCCCATCGGATGTGGAAGGGGAATGGCGAGCAGCAGCCTGCAGGTCTGAGGCCTCGGTTAAGGGGGGAAAGCCCCTCCCCGGGGCTCTGCTCCACGCACCCAGGCCCGCTCCCCTGCGGCAGCGTCTACGCCTCCGATTTGCACCGGGTTTCACCGGAAGGGCGAGAGGAGCTGACACGGAAGAGGCCAAAATTCGGGCTGTGGGGTGGAAATGGGGTTGCAGTGATTCTCCCACACGAAGCAGAAGTGACCGCAATTACGAGGCCTCTGAAACCTGAAATAGAGACCGCAGCGGCCTGTAGGCTCAGAGAGAGGACAGGGTCAGTTGGAAAGATATTTTAGACTCAAATTTGGAAGGAAACCCAATGTTTGACAAAGCCATTTTTAATAGGAATCAATGATTAAAGAGGAGACTCCCAAATTGTACCTAAATGTTCATTTCTGGAGTCCTGCTTAGCATGTGGTCTATTTAATTATGCTAATTAGCTACAGTGATGAATGCTTCTGTTTATCTTTTAGAAATGTGTTTTTAAAGGATAATTAAACAGATGGGCATCTCCCTCAATTAAACGTGCCTGCAGGTAGCCTTGGCCTGTGGTTCGCCCCTAGATCACCTGGGAACTTAATAGAAATGCAATTTTTTGTGGGATCAGACACCCTGGAGGTGGAGCCAGCCCTCTGTTTTGACAAGCCCTCCAGGTGGTTCAGGGGCCATTCAAGTTTGAGAACCTCGAGCCTACCTGCTGAGCCATTTGTCACGGCCGTAGAGTCAATGCCTACCCGGCCACTTTAATTGCTAAGGACTCAGGAGGACATAGGAACTTGACGTCTGGCCGGCGACCCCAAATTTAACAGCGACAGAAAGCGACAGAGCCTCACCTTTTCCTTTTCTTTTGCAAGGTGGCGTTTGGGGGTCTTTTTGCTCATCTGTGCGTGATACCGATGTTTCGAGTTTAGGACCCTTTTTAAGACAGCTCGAGTTCTTTTTGACGTTTTCCCTCTCTTCCAATCTCAGCCTCAAAGCAGCCACCCGGGACAGAATTTTCTTCTTTATCCCCCCAGTTAAATGTCCACTTCCTGTGGTTTCTTGCTTCTTCTTGACCTCCTCGAATGACGTCACTGGGCATCTGCCATTCTGGGTTGCCACGTGACTAAGCCTGTCCTCCCCTGACTTTTTCCTGTGGCCCAGGTAGGGGCCCGGTTGGCAGGGGTCCTGCTGTGGCTTAGGAGCTTCCTCTGACGCACGTTCCCCTGACACGGATGCCAAAGTCACTGACAGGGAGCCAGATGCGTTCGTGGGTTTGGTGTCCCCACTTTGGGGTGCCTCTATTTCGGGTTCCTCAATCTCATGGCTTATTGAAAAGTTCGTAATGTTTCCTTCAAGGCATGAAGTAAAAGGCGACTGAGGGAGACCACTGGGAGCGGGTACATGTTTCTCACGCTCACGCTCTCTCGCTCCCTTTGAGTCAGGAAATGCGCATGGATGATGTCTGGGCTGAGCTAACTCGTTTCCACGGGTGTCATGACTTTGACCTGCGGCGTAAGTGTGGACTCCGACAGATGCGTGAGTCATTATTGCAAGGCAGTTAGACAGAGGTAAAGTGGGGAAAACGAAATCTGCGGAGAGGTTTTCACTTTGCTCAGCCTCCCCCGAGCGACTCTCATGCGTTTCCTGGCTTCTGCTGCACCCACTTGGACTGGGCTCCCCACCTTCGTCAGGACATGGGGCTGGCAAGGTGGCAGGTCCAACTTCCACTCTCTGGCCCAAGTTTCCATTGTTCGGTTTACTCTCCTCTCTGAGGAGCCGCAGAGAGGATTCAGGAAGCTCCTGGGCTTCCACCTTCCACGTCACCACACCTGTTTCGTCGATGGGATCTACAGAGGACTCTAGGATTTGGGGGCCAGTCAGAAACCGTTTAAAGAAGGCAGGGTGACCCACGCTGAGCTGGCTTTCCTCTTGGTTTCGACTCACACTGTTTCCGTTTTCCTGTCCTCCAGTTTTGGAAGCCTCTGATGGCAAATCTGTGACACATAATTCCTTCTCATCTACAGGGTCCACAGATGACTCCAGGAGTCTGGGTTGGCTCAAACACTGGAAAGAAAGACTACTCTGATGTGCATGGCTGGCTGGTTCTTCACCTTCACGGATTTCTCTGTCATTAACAAGGGCAGAGCCTGACTCAGCCTCAGGACTGCGAGCTGATGCTATTTCAGAGGGGTCCGGCTCAGGCACAGTGGCACCTGCCTTCAGAACGTCAGAGACAGCCCAGACCCCGTCAGGAGTCACGGCACCGGCTTCTGACGCCTTGCGCGCAGATTCTGTCGGTCGTCTTGGTGGCCAGACTTCTATAACAGAAGCCTCTAGAGTTATAATCTTCAGCTTGTTGCCTGCTCCCCACTGTCCTGGTCCACTCTCTTTAGACACCTCCGGGAGGGTATTAGAGAGAGGTGGAACATTGCTCACAGCCTGACTGTCATTGTCCACAGTGGCTGTAGCCACCGCAGACACGCTAGTCCCCAGGCCTGAGCTCTGCCCTCTTTCCTCCCTGGAGTTTGCTGACGAGTGGTCCAAGGGCACGGGGTTTATGTCCCCTTCTGCAACAGATGTCGTGGGCCGACCCTCTTGGAACTTATCTTCGGAAACGGAGTGCTGAGAGGGCGGGCCCTCCTGCCGGACCCCCCGTGCCGTTTCACTTCCTTTTTCCGGGAAATTCTCTTCAAGGCGCCCGGTGTCTGCTCTGTCCACGGCCTGGCTCTTCTCCTCAGACTGGTCGTCAGCGTGAAGAAGAGGATCGCTACCGACACCTCCTCCCGCTGGCAGCCCGGGGACACGGACACAGGCCCCCGGTCCCCTGGGAGCCATGCAAAGGCGCTCTTTCGGAGATTCGGTGGTGGAATCATTTAAAATGTGGACATTGGAAGGAAGTGGAAAAATGTTTTCATCCGGTGCCTGAGGCAAGCTTTGCCCAGGGCCATCTGCATGGCGGTTCCCAGCAATGGAAACAGGGACGTATTTGGCTGGGTGGACTCTGGTGGCGATGCTAACAGTTGGTGTGTCCCCACTCTCCCTGGCGACCTGAAGACAGTCAAGATTTGCAGTGAATGTTGTTGGCTTCTCCTGAGGCAACTCCACGGTTAAACTCTGACTGGCGGACGCGCCCGTGGTGTCCGAGGCACCGGTACTGGGGCTCTCAGCACCCCCTTCTTTACGCCGCACAGAGGAGTCCTCCGAAGACGGAGGCTGCCTTTCCTCAAGGCCTCCTGAGGTGCTGGGGCTCGGCCTCGCCTGGCTGGCCTGTCCCACAGAGGCCAGCGTGGAGGTGGCATTCTCTACCTCGGCTAGACCTTCCTCACTGGCACCTTCGCTGGCTTTTTGTGGAATGTTCCAGGCGAAGGAACTGACAGGAGGAGGAGACACAACCGTGTCTCCATTCTCGTTGCTTCTGCACGTAGACTGCGGAGGCTCAGAACCTCGTGTTCGACAAAGAACGTCCAGCGTCTTGTCATCCAGAGAACGGAACTCAGACACTTCGCTCTGACCTTCTGCCAGCTCTAAGTCCATGGAGCAAGTTTCTTGAGGCAAATATTTATCCTCTGGCATTCCAACAGCAGAATCCATGGTGTCACGTGTGCTAGGGTCACCTGCTTCAAGATGCTCCATCGCACACTCAGCTTCTCTGTCTTTTGGCTTGTAGCACATGGTTTCCAGGGTGGGGACGATATTTGCTGGTGCAGGGGAAGCAACAGAGCGAGCCTGGGGCTCCCTGGGGTCAGCGCTGCCCTCCTGGGGGGCATGCACCGACAGCTCACAAGGGGACAGGATTGCATGATGGGCTTCCAGGAGGCTCAGCTCGTGTCCTAGGTCTTCCCTGGAATGCCCAGGTGCCTTGTCTTCTCTGTCTTGTTTTGCTTCACTCTGTGGGCCTTGAGTAGAGCTTTCTATCCCCAGGTGCTGGACCAATGATGCATTTTCCTCATCCATCCCTCCTAAGTTGGGGGAGGAATTTGTTGTGGTCCCAGTACATGCAGACTCCTCCCCGGCAGGCTCTGAGGAAGCTGGCATCTGGCTGAGTGAGATTCCCGCCCTGGCTGTTTCCTGAATTTGCACCTAGGAAGATGAAAAGTGATATTAATAGAATTATTCCCAGGAGAGCCCACCATAGGGCATAACTGAATCCCAAGAGTATTCATCCTCGATGAGTGTAATAATGGACAAGAAGAGCAGCAGGCATGATTGAAATCTGAACACGAATCCCCAAACTTGCTCTAGCTATTAGAGACTTTCTGGGAAAAGGCAAAGGTAAGCAACTGTGTGTTCCAGGGGACCCTTGGTTAAATTGCCCATTATAAGCAAAAAGCCTCCTGACAATCGTCATTTAATGATCTCTCTCTCTCTCTCTCTCTCTCTCTCTCTCTCTCTCTCTCTCTCAAAAAGATGAAAACAAATTGAATGTTAACTATTTTAGTAAAGTAAGTCATAAGAACTTGTGTGTACCTTTCCAGAAAGATAAAATTTCACGTGAACATACATGAAAAATGCAGTGCTTGTAAAGTAGCACTGAGCAATCTTTGCTCCCAGATGTAACGGCTTGCTGGTTAATCATGTCACTAAAGAACAGAGGCTGGTCCTTTCAGGCCACCTTTAATGAAGTAAGAGGGTTATGATTGGCCATCAGCACTGCCAATTACTTCTGCTCCGGGAAGGTTATAAAATCCTGGAATGCCGCCCCCACTTTAAAATAGATGCCCTCTGACAGGCAAATCATGTCCACAAGAAATAGGGGGCCCAAGATTGCTCCGATTTAGGGGAAGAGAAAATAGAGACAGAGAGAGGGGAAGAGGAAGGGGAGGGGAGAAGGAAGGAAAAGAAAGGCAGGAAGGAAGAAAGGAAGGAAGAATCTATCCACCTCATCAGGACCTTGTGAACCCATAATGGTCCTATTTGAATGTTCTGTGATATTAGATGTTGTTTAATGAAGCAGCAAACTCTTTGGCTAGATTCTTGTCCCTTGACATTTTTAGCTCATCTATTATCTCAACACATCCCAAAATTATGCCCCGCCAAGGAGAAGGGAATCACCACTGCTAGTTGTTGGCAGCACCCCATCTTTGCTCCCAGGACTCTTGCTTTGGAGCAGCCACGTTCAAATGTGCAGAAACCGAAGACTGGGTTTAAAGACGGGAACTAGAGCAGAAATGTTCCTGTGCTCACTGCAGCTCCAGAGTTCCTCAGCTTATGTCCATCAGGCACAGGTGAGAACCCCTGATCCCTTCACACGCGTGCGGTGGCAAACAGGACAACAGCATAACCACGCCTCCTTCCGTACTACCCCAAGGTTGCTTGTGGCCGGCAGTAATTCACCTCTCATTTTCTCCTTAAAGCTACCCTGAGGTTCCTTTAACTCAGATTTTATTGGCATAAAAGTGCTAACTAAGCAAGGAGACATTTACTATAATTTCCTTTGTGATCAAGTCTAGGAGTGCTAGGACCATTCACCAATTCAACAAATATTTATGGAAATAATATGGAAATAAATATGGAAAGCCCCCAATGTACTAGGGAGAATCCCAGACAACACGGGCAAAATGCCCATCTGCTGGGTGCTCCCATTCTATGCCGTATTCAAGGCCTGTCACACGCCTAGCACCTAGCAGGTGTTGCATAAGCACTTGCTGAAAGGAGGAGGAAGTGAATGAACTATGCACCAGGTGAGACGGCTCTGCCCAACTCATTACAACTCTAAATTTGAAAGGTTTGGACTCACGTGCTCCTGACTTTGGGAAAACTCTATTTTAAAGGAAATGTAACCCTATGTAGGGGCAGTACTGGGTCACACCCTGGTGTTTTTTTAAAAGAAAAAGGTATTTACTCTCTTCTGAGATCCCTTTTTCTTTCTTATCCTATTAAACTAGAAAAGGAAAAACAGAAAGATAATTTCTGAGAAATAAGAAGCAAATTTTTAAAAAGGTTTCGAGGAGTTTAATGTGTGCTTAATTTTACCTCCGAACCTGAACATCTATCTGCAATGCATGTAGAGAATGTTCTTCTCATCGCTATTTTGGTTCAGGTATTTTTTATAACGAACTATAGTATAAATATACTGAAAGATTAAGCATAGAAAGTGTGCGTAGCTTCCTGGTCGTGATTTGAAAAGCATAGGGAACCTGTCTAATCAAAACGCCAGGCCCTCTCTTGAGCCTTCCTCCCCTGCCTGAATTTCCACTACCCATGTCAGTCCTTTATTTTAAGATCTTGCCATCATCACAATACCATCAGTGCCAACAGACATTTATGGAGTGGCTGCCATGTGCAGAGTTCTCTGCCAGGCACTGGACAAATTTTTCCAAAGGGCTCAAGGTAAAAAGCCACTCTGTTACTTACTGGGATGTTACACGCTCATTATTGCTTGTTACCATATCAACAGAGTGACAGGCTGATACGGAGAGAGACTGACACCTGGAGAGGGTGAAGCACAGGACAAGCAAGCTTTGATTAGGGTGAGTTTGGTCACTGGAATATAGCATCGCAGCCACGGTATCGTGCCTCACCTTACAATTAAAGCATGTTCCTATTAAAGCATACTCACTCCTCCTCTCTCTTGCTTTAAAAATAATATTCTATTTTAAATTAGCTTGAAGCCCCACATGGAAAAAAAATCATGGCAAATCTTTGTGTAAATTCATCTACTTGACCAACGTTTACTGAGAGCATCTACTATATACCAAGCTATGCTCTAAGCTCCAGGGAGTCATCAGTGAACATAACAAAGACGTCTGGGCTTTTGGAAGACATGTTCGAGCAACACACCATGTAACTGATTCGCCGCTGATGGCAAATTCTATAAATTTGATTTTAACTGACCAATGGGATTTTCTCAAAGTGGAGCCTTTAACAGCCCAGGATACAATGTCAAGGCTTACAGCATCCGTTCCAAGGACAGGCTCCTTAGGTCTCATGCAAAGGCCGACTCAGAGAGAAAGAGAAACGACAGACTCACACCTTTCAAATAATTCGGACCTTTCTTTTAGTTAAGTCATGGCGAAAGAATTCCAGCAAGCGGTTTTCCTGCTTCTCAGCTTTTCTCATCATGGAGTGAGTGGTGGGACTCAGGAGGTTTTATTATGTAGGAAAATTGTCCTCATTCAAGTGAAAAGAAGGTGGATTTGGGGCTCTAGGAGGGAGCCTGGTGTGGAATGTGGAGTGCGGACTTGGAGGACTGGCCCCCTGGGTTCAGCTCAACCTGGTACTGCGTGAATGAGCCCACGGAATCTCTTTGGCCTCCCTGACCCTCTGCCTCCTCCTCTAAGGCTAACCACATGCACATCGGCACCATCCTGTCGAGTGCTCGTCACTCGCTGATGGTGGTTTCCCTTGTTCTCTGTGAAAAGGAAGTAGCGGCCGGGGCAGGGAGAAAACGAGCAGAGCACTGTGCGCTGGGCTTTGCGTGGGCTTTCCCGTTTGACTGGTAAAATAAATCTAAAGCACTACACTATCATCTCTCCTTCACTGATGAGGTGCGCAGCCGGGGTCCGATCAGAAGGGAGAGACCACACAGTGGGCGAAATGAGGGCAGTCGATTATGATGCATCGTTAACTGCAGGGCACAGGGAAGCACCCTGGTGCTCCAAGGTCAAGGAGAGAATGGAGGGGGACAATGCAGAAGGGGCACTGACCTCGCTGGAGAAGGTGCAGCCACCAGACGGCAGAGAAGTGCACTGGCTTAGCCAGGCTGGGCGAGCAGCAGCCCACCCTCCACTGGCGGGCAGGGAGCAGCTGGTCTCCGGGGCACCAGCAGGGGCAGAGGCCGAGGCCTTCGGGGTGGGTGGGCTATGTGTGGTGGGGACAGGGAGAGAGAACAGCAGCCCCGGGTGTCCGGGGCCACGGCGGTGTGTGTAGGCCACGCGGGGGCTCGCGGAGGGAGTCTGGACGTTGGAAGATACGGGAGGCCTTCAGAGCAGGCGGGCCACGCCGAGCTCGGGTTTCTGAGCAGAGAGGGCTGCAGGAAGGGTGTCACGAGGCCGAGGTGACAAGGTCGCGGAGGGACCACGTTCTGGATCCATGGCAGGGACAGGCTCTATGGGATGACCACGAACCCATATCACCAACCCCCGCCGATGCTGAAAACGAGAGGAGTTCCCTCCCTCCTTCAGTGGCCTTCCAGCACCCTCTGCTGAGAAAGCTTCACATTCCGCTTATTTTAAGAGAAACGGTTAACAGAATTCTATCACTGAGCGTGACTGGCAGGCGCATTCAGAGCTGAGCGGCAGTAAATTGAGAACTGGCACACGAGGTTAGTGACGTTCGAGGCTTAGAAATCGTCTGGGGTCCCACAGTCAACGGCAGAACCAGGATTTAAAGCCGAGTCTGTCTGGCCACAAAGCCCTTTCCAGCTTTTCTGAAAAGTAAAGACAAATCCCACCAAAGGGCTGGGAACTCCTCTGGTTTAAATTCAGAACTTCTGAGCTCCCAAGACCCTTGGATACGAGACTATAATGGTCCTTATTACATGGGAAATAACCACTTGTTTATTGGTCGGCTTCCTCACAAGCTCTAAGGACAGGGACTCTGTTATTCATTTCTGGATTTCCAGAACCTTAGACACAGTAGGGGCTCGATTAATCCTCCCGAATGCATAAGCACGTGAGTGAACACAAGGAGAGGAAGGGGGAAACCAAATTTAGTGCCACCTCCAAACCCGTTAAGCTCAAAAACTTACACTCTGCTCCCACAGCATTTTCCAACCCCGTCTCGATGCTACACGCCTCCGATTTTACAAACACGTTGTTTTCATTGGTGGGCCTTTCCGAAAAGTGTGCCGTGGACCCCGGGGAAAGGCGTGTTGCCTCATCGCACACCTCATGACGTTCAGGGTTACACACCTCTTCATTAACGAGAGCGTCCTGGATGCCAACAAAGCGCAGGACACTCATCTGAGTCGCTAACAATAGAAGGTGGTCTGCGATAAGATCCCTCTTCTCAAATAGCTTTTAATCAGCTGAAGAGACGAGATGTCCATGGAAAAGATAGATAACAATTCCTGACGAATTGTGCTAACGGACAAATGGATGGAGCTTTGGTAACAGGGTTGCTCCGGGACAGAGTGATGT